TAGTAGTATTAGTCGTAGTCGGAGTCGTAGTCGTAGCCGTAGTAGTAGTAGTAGTAGTAGTAGTAGTAGTAGTCGTAGTCGTAGTCAGTAGTAGTAGTAGTAGTAGTAGTAGTAGTAGTAGTAGTAGTAGTAGTAGTAGTAGTAGTAGCAGTAGTAGTAGTAGTAGCAGTAGCAGTAGCAGTAGCAGTAGCAGTAGCAGTAGTAGTAGTAGTAGTAGTAGTAGTAGTAGTAGTAGTAGTAGTAGTAGTAGTAGCAGTAGTAGTCGTAGTCGTAGTAGTCGGGCGAAAACGACGACGACAACGGCGGCGACGACGACGACGACGACGGGCCAGGGCGCCGCGGACGCTCCACGCACCGCCGCCAGGGCGCGGTCGCGCGAGCGGCGCTCCACGAGCACGGCCACCACGCCCGTGTCCTCCCCAGGCACCTGTCGCTCGCCCAACGCAGCCGTCGTGGCCCAACGCCGCCGCCGCCCACCGCCCGCCTCCGTCGTCGTTGCCGCCGCCGCGACGGAGGAGGATGAGGATGAGGATGAGGATGAGGAGGAGGAGGAGGAGGAGGAGGTGGAGGAGGAGGATGAGGAGGCCTCGTTCCTGCTTCCTCCGATTCCCTTCTCAATCCGAATTCCTCCTCTTCCATGCTCCCTCTTCCTCCCGCCTCTTTTCTCCTCGTTTCTCCTTCCCCCTCCTTCCGCATCCTCCTTCATCCTCCATTATTATTTTCCCTCCTCCGTTCTCCTTCCTCTCCGCCCGCGCTCGCAAAGAAGCGCGGGGGGGGGGGGGGGCTGGGGGCGGCGGCGCAGTTAGGAGAAGGTGCAGGAGGAGGTGCAGGAGGATGAGGAGGAGGAGGCGGAGGCTCAGGATGGAGCAAGCGTCGCACGGGGAGGGAGGGAGGGAGAGAGCCAGTGCTCCTCCTACTCCTTGTCCTTTCACTTCCTCACCCTCCTCTTGCTCCACTATTGCCTCAGTCTACCTGTCGATATATCTCGGTACATATTTATATATATAGACGCACATCCATACATACATATATATATATATGTATGTCTACACATGCTTATCCCCATGTATCGATCTAGACGTATATAGGTATGAACATAAGGCTATATGTGCACATAGCTATATCTATACATATATATATATATATCTATCGATACATGCATGCATATGTACATGTATGTGTATATGCCTCTGTATGTGTATGTGTTGTGCACGTGCAGCTGTATACAGATATGTACAGATGAATCTGTAGATATATGCACATGTGTATGTATATGTGTACATTCATGAGTGTTTGTAGGTGTGTGTGTGTGAATACTTATCTGCAGTCATATACTTATATTGAGAAATATGTCGAGTTGGGCGCGCGACAATGCCAGCTGCGCCTCAGCAGGCAGATCACGCGATCAGCCCAGGAATATTTCTCCCTCCACACCGAATGAAACACGGACAGGACGTCGCCAAAGATCAAGCCAACCCGAATGCAAACCACTTCGGGCCCGGAACAGGGGGGGCGGGCAAAAAGGCAAACGAGAGGGGCGACATGGCCATGCTTGGACACCTGGGAGCAGCCAGCACCAGCAAGTCAGCTGCCGTCGGCTCGGGAAGGCGGCTCAACCTCCAGACTTTGCGCGAGGCCCCCAGGACGGAAAATCCCCCTCCCGCGCTCGGACAAGCCGCCAGCGAGTGGGCTGTCTTTGTGGGGTGGTGGCGGGGGGGCTTTCTCGCAGGGGCTGGACAGGCTCTGGGCCGCTGACGAAGCGTGACCTCCACAGGCCGCGCAAACCGCGCACCTGGTTCCAAGCAAAACCATCGCCCCGTGAACGCTAAAAGCAATGGCAAAACGGAGATTGCGCCCCAGGGGCTGCCGCGGCGGTCGGAGCTCGGAATCCTGAGGGCCAAGGGCCGGGGCGCTACTCCCCCGCGTCGACCTGGGGGCCTGCAGATGCCCGTGAGCCGCTTCGAAACAGGTCTGGAGGATGCTTGAACTGGGCGACTCTTCCCAGGCGGCCCTGGCCCACATCGAAGCAACGTTGCCGCGGTCGAGGTTGGCGGGGTCGATCTGGGGCCTGATGGAGGCCTGGCGGGGGCGCGGGGCCCGCCAAGGAAGTCTTCTCATTTGTGAAGAACTGCGCGCTGCCTGGGGCCTCGAGCCTCGCGGGCGTCTCCAAGGCGAATCCATCGCCGAAGCTCCCCGCGAGCTGCCGGCCTGAGGCCCCGAACGGTGCGCCGGGCCTGCCTTCGCGCCAGCTTCTCGCAGTTCGAGGAGCATCGCGGATTGGCGGAAGCCCCTGCGAACTCGGAGCCCCGCGGGGTGGCCCTTGGGTCCATTTGGGCCAGGCCGACGCGTCTCACTTACCACGTGCGCCACCCGCAGAGCTCATGCTTGCAGGAGAGCGTGCACCTCAACATTCTCCTGCGGTGAGAGGGCAACCGCATGATCCTCGCACAGACGCTGGCTAGTGGAAGGGTGCCGGCCCCGCAGAAGCTTGCCTCGCCTGTTGGCAGGCTCGCTCTCGCAAGTCTGAAGGATCTGACGCCAAGCATTGGGTCAGTGATATTAAACCCCCTCTGGCCTGCGAGCCGCAGCCCCTGACCCAGACCGAGGGGAAAACGAACCTGCGATCGTCGCTCCCGGCCGCCTTCGCGTTGCCAGGGTGGCGTGCGCGTCCCAGGCCCGGAGGCTGGATGACGGCCAGGAGACCTCGCCGCCGCTGCCGCGTTCGCTCGGCAAAGCGAGCGAAGCAAAGCACCTGCTCATAGGCCCGTCGGCCCCGAACACGTCTCGACGCAGGGCTTGCTGGCCGCGCCGGCGGCTCTGGCGGAGGAACGGGCAAAACAATGAACGAGGAGGAGGAGGACGAGGAGAAGGAGGAAGAGGAGGAGGAGGGTACGGCACTGCCAAGGGAAGCGTCGCGCGGTGCACGAACGCCCTCCTGAGTCGCCAAGCTGCTAGCAGCCTGGCTGGCCTGCGGAAAAGCTGGGACCCCACCTAAAGGATCACGGGTACCAGCTGCACAGACAGAAGAGAGCAGTGACAAGGCCGAAGGTGCCGACGCGGGGTGCACACAGGATGGTGCACCTCTCTCGCGTCGCGGCCTAAGCTAAGGCACGCAGGAAAGCGTCAGCCCAGAGCTCCAGACAGGTATGCGGCATCACCTGGGACAGTGCTATGCGCTATCTTCCAGGCTGTGCCCCCCTGAACGCGAGGGGAGTCCACCGTAGCCACTCCCTGGGAGCAGAGGTGTGCGGCGTCATCTGGGACAGCACCGCTCGTGCTATCCTCCAGGCCGTGCCTCCCGCAAAACGCAGGAGGACCGCCGAAGCCACTCCCTCTAGATTCCTGCCCGTGGACCAGGTGTGCGGCATCACCTGGGACGGCGCAGCTCGCGCCATCCGCCAGGCTGTGCCCCCCTCCAGGCGAGGGGTGCCCACCGAAGCCACTCCCTGGTCGCTGGGGCCAAAGGTCACGACGAAGCGAGCACCTGACGTCATCTGAGGCAGTGCCTAGGCATCCCGTCCAAGGCGGCTCAGCACTCGTCGGCGCATCATCGTCCGCCTTACTAGGTTTAGGGCGGCAGAGAATATCCAGCAGGCCTTCAGCGCACAACGCCCACCTGTACGCCATGTCACTGAAGAGGTCGTCGCCGCTCGTGGTCTCCGCCGCCGCACCATGAGCGAGAGCGGTTCTATAGGCCTCGACGCGGGAAGCAGTGCCGCCGCTGAGTACCTTGAGACCCTCTCGTGCCAATTTGGTGCCATTGAGTGGTGGCCCAGCCTTGAATGCGCGCCCTCGAGGTCCGACGAGCGGGCGAAGAGCACCATTCCACGGCCGAGCGCGAAAGAGACGCCCGCGAGGCCCAGGGACTCGACGAGGGACGGCATCTCGAACAATGTATTGAGGCCCAACCTTGAAGACGCGCCCAGGAGGTCCAGGGAGTGGCCGAGGAACGCCATGCCAAGGTCGCGGGCCAAAAACTCGCCCACGCGGCTCAGGAACTGGGCGAGGAGGAGCGCCATCAGGGGGTCCATGAACGGCGTCGACACGAGCACCACGACCATATTGTGGGCACACTTCGTCGCATCGATGAACGGCCTGAGAATCACCAGCTGCGCCTCCAAGAGGAAAGACATCACGGACTCCGTCGCGCACTTCACGGCGATGGCCCTCGAGAAAACCACGACGTGGGACAGCGGCAGCACGGCCAGCGTGAGTAGCGCCCAGAACCGCGGCTCCAGGGACAACGCCCCCACGACCCGTAGCAACGCCACTGCCCGACAAGCGCGAGGCAGAGCCGTCGGACCGTCCATGTCAATCGAGGCGAGAGGACCAGCAGGGTAGTATACAGCAGCCTGGCTACGAAGGGGCGTGCGCACCGTGGCGGCGGTGCGGATCCGTTGCGCAGCCAAGTTGGCCCCTGCGGCCGCGGAGAGGCTGGTGAGCGTCTCCAGCGCGCCCATGCGTGGAGCCCCGTCCACGGCCGGCGCGTCCGGGTCCCGTGGCTGCAGCAGGGCGACGATGGCGCCAGCCGCTGCCTGCGCATGGCGCGCCGCCGTGCACCGCGCCCCGGCGCGGCGGCGGGCAGCTCGGGACAGCGAGGCCGCACAGGAAGGCGGCACGTGCGCTGTCAACATGAATCGCATCAGCAGCTCCAGGCGAGGCCAGCCGCGTGTCCGACCTCGGCGGCAGCACCTAGCGCAGGAGGCCCTGGATGGCGAGGTTTGTCGGGCGTTTACCCGAAACCGTCCTATAATCAGCTGCTCGGTGAACTGGGGAGTGGCAGGACTAGGGCGCGGGCGCAAGATCTGAAAAGAAAAATGCAGAGCGTCGATGGCAGCGAGAACACTAGCCAGGGCCCGGGAATCCAGGGGAAGGTGGGGAGGGAGGAAGGAGAGAACAGGATCACGTCCCCATCCGTCAGGCAGGCGCGGGAGAATCTGATGGAGAACAGGGGCAGTAATCGGACAAGCAAGGTAATGCAGAATATCGCCCCCCTCCAACACGTAGACATCCGAAACGACAGCGCCCGGGACCTTGTCTGTATCGCTTGGTGGTATTCCAGGTGCAGCAAATTGTCTTCATATACGCAACAAATACAAAGGGCGAAACGAGGGTGGCAGCTTTCTGTATCACCAGAAAGCCCCGATCATTCTGGGCTGGTGTCACCTGCGGTGACCGCTTCCGAATCCGTGGGAACAGTAGAGTGGATAAAAAGTTCGGTATACGTGTCCAGAAATATCATCCCTGCCAATTTCCCATGGACATTTTTCGGGCGAGTATCAACAGGAAGCCTGGGGACATGCAGGGGATGGGCGTACTCCTCATATGCATGGACAAACGTTGAGTGTGCATGGAACCTGTGATGTTTGGAACATATTATGTAATCATCGCCTGATAGTGTATCCTCCAGCCTCCGCGCCAATGCGGGGAAGATCTTCGAATTTAAGGCAAGTCGGAGCTTGGCGGCGCGTGCGCTGACTCGCAGATCGCCTGTCTGGACAGGAAGCCCAATCCCGCGAAAGCTGCAGAAGAGACGCGGAGGAAAGCTGTGGCGAGGAGCATTCGCATGCAGCTGGTGGCTCTCCCGCTCGGCCTCGAGCACGCGCTTGTCTGGCCGAAAACCTTGTGCAATATAACTCGCGGTAGAGGGGGCGTCTCTATTGTGGGCAACAAAAGACTGAGTAAGGCCTGGCCCCATGATCTTTACACGGTGAGCCCTCTCCATGACTTTGCTGGCAACAAGTGGCCACGACTTCGAAGGGCCTCCGAGCCCCAAAAAGAATCCCAAGTACTTTCCGTAAAGCTGTATTTTCAACATCCGAACGTTGATTCCGTTGTTGAGGAATTGGGAAGTGGCGGGCTCGAGGAGTTCGGGGTCGAGAAGGAGAATGACGCACTTGGCGAGGTTGAGGATGAGGCCCGGTGGGCGCCCGAACTGGCAAATCGCCTTCGTAGCTGGCTTCAATACTGCAAAGATATCTGCGGCTGCAAGCCCAAGACCATCTGCAAACGCACGCGCATGAGCTGACAGGGCGGTAGGCAGATCGGCAAGGTGACGAAGGAGCGGGTCGGGAGAGATCGCGGAGATCACGCCGGACAGTGGACGGCCTTGCTTGACACTCCGTTTGGCCACAAAGGGGTGTTTCTGGGATCCCTTGAAAGAAATAGCGCGCTGGAGGTTGGCGTAGAGGAGCTGAATGGCGAGAATCAGGAAACCGGGGAACTTGAAAGCCCTGAGAACTCGATAGATCCATGAATGGCAAACAGATGGGAACGCGGCGCGGAAGTCGAAGAAACATGCGCCCGTGGATTTGTGCCCAAATACGGCGCTCCAGAGGTTCATATTAAGGTCCGTCTCCAACACATTATCCCCAATACTCCTCCCTTTGACAAAGCCACGCTGAGAAAAGTGAGCTTTATCTGCTACCACCTCGGCAATCGGATTCGCAATCGTGGCGCTGATCAGTTTATTGTCGGTATTCGAGAGGGCGATCGGTCTGGTCTCGTCGGCGTGTTTAGTAACGTCGTCGGGGTCAGGGGCGTCGCCTTTTGGTAGCAGAACCAACTTGGCTGCATTGAAAGAGTCGGCCATTGGATGGCCAGCGAGAAGATGTAGATAAACATTCAACAGAGCTTCCTGCGCAACAGGGCCAGCCGCTCTCCAAGCGCCGTAGCACAAACCGTCGGGTCCTGGGGCAGAGTCAGATTTCCTATGGATGAGGTCCAGAAGCCGGTCGAACGTGAGGGTCCAGGGAAACCTTTGGTGGGTGGAGTTGGTGAACTGGAAGGGGTCGGAGGGGGGGTGGGGGGGGGCAAGGGCGAGGGATCCAGCCCCCGCGTTTCGGTCCTCGGAGCCCGCGTGAAAAAAACAACAACAACTTTCCTCCAGTGTTCAGCCAGGTGTCCTGCGCAGATCTCGGGGTCGTAGTGGGTGGCCCCGTCGGGGCCGATGATGCCCTTGAGGGTGACTGCGCGCTGGGTCGACTTCCACGCCTTGGCAAGCCGACGGACTCGAGCTACGTGAAAATCAGCTGGCGGCCGTCCTGCTAGGCGGATGGCAGCTCCTTGAGCAACGTGCTCCCGCTGCATCAGTTGCCCGCGGTGCTGGTGAAACCCTGCCCCGTTGCTCCAGTGTCCAACGTCACTGTCGAAAAAGGAGCGGAGGCCGGGGTAGGCCTTCCGCGCTATCCTGATGGTATCATGGGCCGCGAGACGCTGAGCCCGAACAAGGCGGAGGCAACGCGCAACTTTTTCAGGGTTGGTGTTGGCGCGAGTCGCAAACATCTCGTCTTTGTATTTTTTGGCCCGCGGCAGTCATGATGTCTTTGATCTCAAGAAGCTTTTGGGGAGGGTCCTGACTGTGCTCTTGGCCGTCGGCGATGGCCTCGAAATTGGCAGCGGACGAAGGCTTCTTAAAGACCCAGGCAGGAATATATACTTCGTCTGACTGCGGTCGCCACTGCTTTACATAGAGATACGCGGGCACGTGGTCGGAAGGCGCAGACATGTCGGTGATTCTCTTGGAGGTGCCGCTTGCTGGGGTAACGTCGAGGATGTCAGCAGTAGGGATAGAGGTATAGATCCGATCAAGTCTAGCATAGGAGGAAGAAAGGGACGGAGTAGTGATCAGCCTGCGGTGGGTAAATGAGTCCTGCGTGAGCTCGGCAAGCTCGGGCAAAAGCGCGTGAAAGGAAGCGGCCAGCCGTGCGGGAGCGTGGCTCTCTTGTCCAGTGGTGGCATTAAATCGGCATCCCCCTCTTTCGCGGCATTGAAGTCCCCGCGGAGGAAGGCGGACGAGAGGCGGGCAGGAAGAAGAGAGCCGCGAATCTTTCCGAACTGCGCCCTCACCATCGGTTCAGGAAGGTCTGGATTGACATGAATGTTCACGATTTGCATGTTCCCACTGTTCCCTGTTCGAGAGAGACAACTAATTCGCCCAAGCACAAGCTCGGTAAAACTGATGGCGGTTAACTCTCTGGCCAGTCGCTTCGCAAGAAAGGTAAGAACTCCTCCCGCACGCTGTTGGTGACAAAACGGGCCAAAAACTTCGTGATCTTTGCGGTCTCGCTGGAGATGAGGGAGGTCACCTGGGTTGCCGTGGGGCTCCTGGATGCGCGCGATTTGTTCTTAAACTTTTTTTTTCATATTTCTCCGAGAAGGTCATGAAGACGCTGGTGTTTATGTTGCTGGCGGGTTTGGTCGGCGTGAGTGGAGCCCGGGAGGGTCTGCGAGTTCCACGCGGTGATCTTCAGAGACTGGGATGGGGGGAAGGGCTGGGAGGAAGGGGGCTGGCCTGGGCCCCTGGGCCCCGGCGAATCTTGTGCACGCGCGCGCTGAGTTTTGGGAGAAGGAGCAGGCGAACGGGAGAGGCGCGGGACAGGCCCTCGATTCCCCTCGGAAGCGGCGCCGCTGCACGGAGCAAAAATGGAGGGCGACTGGCGAGAGGGGGCGGCCCGCGCGGGGCTCAGATCAAGACCTTGGTGCCCTGCATGAACTTTTCGCAGATCCTCGATGACGCCCCTGGATCTGGTCTGGCGTGACTCCCCAATGCGATAGGTTGTTCTCGATCGGCTCGAACATGAGGGTGTCCTCGGAGGCGGCCTTTGCATGAACGAGCTCGTAGACGTCGTCGTTGGTAATGATCTGCATGGTGCCCTTGTGTCCGTTGACCCCGAGCCTGCGCTCTGGCGTCCAGTGCGGCGACTGGCGAACGAGATCGCGAACTTGGGCGTGAATGGTCGAGGAGGCCCTCTTCCTCTGGCGGACGTGCAATGGGAGGTCGCCCCGAATGTGGAGCGGATCCACTTCATGTCGAGGGAAGTGGCGCGCTGGGCGAACGCCTCGGCCCATTCGCGGCGGGCGAACTTGTGCTTGTAGACCTGGCCGACGGCGTGATAGATCACTTCCACGCGGTCCTCGGCAAGCTCGGTCGGGGGGATGGCCGTCGTCTGCATGACGTGGGCTTCGCGAGTCTTCCGAAGCAGGGGCCTTGGAAACGTGCCAACGTACCTCACTGTCGGGCCCCCGTCATCAGCAGCGAGGTCGATCGGATTCTCGAGGCGACGACTTTTTCCATGACCATGAGAGAAGCACGGCCTGCAACACTTGATGTGGTACTTGCTGTCGAACTTCGGCAGGATTCGAGCCGCGTCATCTTGGCGGCCTGCTCGGCCAAGGTCTTCTTGACGTCGGTGGCGGCAGCTTCCTGGGAGGCGGCCTGGGTCTGGAGCGCGGCGACCGACTGCTGCATCTCGGCGCGGGCGACGGCGAGTAGCGCCTTGCTCTGTTCGCCCAGAAGAGTCTTCATCATGGCTTTCATTTCTTCCCTCGCGGACATGGCTGCTGTCTGGCAGAGGGGGCAGAACCCGCGGGCACTGAAGTTCGCGTGGGGATCGTGCGCGTCAGAGAGGATGCCAGGCAGAACTGCCTTGCCAGCCGCGGACTAGCGGCATCCGCTTGGCCCCCAGGGAAAGCCTGCATCTTCAGCCAAAATGGCTACGGAGGAGGAGGAGGAAGAGGAGGAGGAACGAAAGGGAAATTCAGCAAAAAGCGGCGGGCCGACGCCGGCATGCAGGAGGAGAAAGGAAAGGCGCAAACAGCAGCAAGCAAACGCGCGCTGTCGGAGTCCTGCGACGCCCGACCGTGGCAGCGCCGGCGCACAAATATTTCTCGAGACCT